CGCTGCCTTTCCAATGTAGTCAAACCATTATTTTATTGTTATCAGCTTTTCTCCCATTTTTCAGGGAAAGAAAGCAAAGACACCTAGATAATCGGGCCCCAGATTCAGGCCACTGGCCTGACCACCAACAACAAGAGGAAGTGTATTTCAGTACCCTTGGTCCTTGTAAAATTTCAGTAGAAGATGGAGTAAAATCTGGGGGGCAGAACACCAAAGACATACTGCTTAAAGCTATCTTCATTCTGAAGGTTAAATGCTGTGGCTTGCACTGTCAGATGAGACAAATAATTCACTCATCTACGACAATTATCATTTGTGTTCACATGTTCTCTATGACTAACTACTGGGAGATAAGAGGATTGGTTGTGTTAATATTTCAGAAATTTCTAGTGTCTTATATATTAAAGAATGTGGTACAGAATGTTTGTGCCTGGTGGCAAAATAAATGCTTTGGTGAACATCTGAAGCTGTAACACTTCAACCTGGGGAAAACTGAAACAGACAATCATTTTCAGCACTTTGACAAGGGAAAAATAAAATTTTTTCGGTGTCATGTAATCATATTTTCATCTCTTATTTTAAAAACGTATCGCTCAGCCCTTCAAAGAAAGCAAACAACGATGTCTCAGCGTCTCCATAGACAACCAGTCCAGTCCAGTAAGCACAATGGATGACATCACCCAGAGTTCTCAGAGTTGTCATCTCCCTGAAGTTCTTGTCACTGGGAGAGGTGAGCAGACAGGGTCTGGGCGCCTCTTCTCCTTCCCAGCAGAAGCAGGTCGGGCTGCTCTAGAGCCAGCAGTCTACACATCTGGTGATGTGTCAGGCACTGCGTGGCCACTACAGAGAGCTCTGCACCTGCTCTCACGTCACCAGATGTTCCCAGACCTGAGCGGAAGCAGATGCTCTGGCGCGGGAAGCTGAGGAGCTCTGTAATTCACAGTGAGCAGCTCTGTTGTGGCTCATCCTTCACAGGTGGCGCAAGAAGGAATGAAAGTCGCATTTTTAGCTACATTTTTCTGAAGCAAAGCATTTGTTTTCCTTCTAGTATGTGAATCCACACTTTTATGCATAAGGTTTGTTTTTCATATGACAATTTACATTTTTCAACGTATTCATTTATACGGATCTACTGTAAATGAAATCATTCTCTTAACTGCTTCATGCTAAAAGACTTAAAATGTAAGGCAGGACAGACAGTGGTATTCAGTGGCTAGACACAGGCAGATGTGCTTTCAGCTCCAGAATTCAAAGCAGTTTGGAAGCACAGCACTGAACATTCTCCACACTTCACAGCAAACAT